CCCCCCCCCATCTCATGTAGTGATTAATGATACATCGCCACCCAAAGATTAATCATGGGAAATTAAAAAATAAAAATAAAATAAAAGTGCTGGAGGTAACTGCAGCTGGATCAGGTGGGCTCGGGATGGCGGTGGAGGGTGGAGGAGGTGAAAGCCAATGAGCTCCATCGAATCTTTTTAGATGCAAATATTTTGTTATCTCTACTTTGCTGCACTGTGTGTTTTTTCCTTCTCCCGTGTTTATGATTAATTATCTCTTCTTGGTGAAAAATAAATCATGCGAAATTAGGATCTAGCTGACTCCACCGGCGTAAGCAGAGATGGCAGGTCGATGTTGTTAATTTCAGGTTGAAATTGACACACTAATTATAGTGCAGAGTGCTGCTGGAACACTAGCAGGCAAGATTATACCTCTGTGCTTCTATTTTTTCTTTCTTTCTCTCTCTCTCTTTTTTTTTTATCAGATCCCCACCCCCCTTATATTTTACCAATTAAAAATCGTAAAGGCATTTCATTGCCCCGGGATAAAAAAAAGACAGCCTCTCTCCTAACATGGCCATCACTTTCCCCCATCAGATTCATTGTGATGTATTAGATGCAATAAATTATCCCATGTAACAAAACATGGCGAGCTGAAAGGCTGATAATCTGCAGAGGGGAGATAAGGATTCATTATTCCAAATCATTATGAATCCAGCGTTGGCTGTGACTTCTTTCTTAATCAGCTTCTGTGATCCTGGATACGTGAAGGGAGCAGATAAGAGCAGAGTCGTTTATAATTCTCCCCACCTCGGCCTAATATTTTAAAATAAAATCGCAGGGAGAAGCCGCCGTAAAACACACACACACACACACACACACACACACACACACACACACACACACACACACACACACACACACTGGCTTAACGTTTGGAGGGTGAACAGGACGAGAATAATAAAACACATTGAGGAAATAAATAAGTAAATAGATAATACGTGGCCCATACATTTTTGGCGCTGTTTTGTCTCAAATTAAGGTCATCTTATTCGACATTTACAGCGAAGAATCATGTAGGCAGAGAAAGAAAGAGAGCGAGAGAGAGAAAGAGGGAGAAGGGGGGTGGGAAAAAAGGAGGAGATATATACTGCACCGTTTATTTCACATTTGGAGTGGGAAGGGGCTAATAAAATTTAGGCTACACCGGGAGTCTATAAAAGCGGGTGACCGTAAATGATTTACACCATTTATGCACTAACAGGGGCTGAAAAAGCGCCACGGTACACGGGAGGGCGAGGTGGGGGGCGGCGTTCGCTACTGCTGCTGCAACCTCAATCTGCAAAATTAAGAAACTAGGAAAAGAGGGGTGATTTAATCCGGATGTAATGGTGAGATGATGACACCTCATCCAAACTGCTGTGTGTCAATAAATATCAGATGGCTGTGAGACTAATAATAATAATAATAATAATAATAATAATAATAATAATAATAATAATAATAATAATAATAATAATAATAATAATAATAAAAGGCTGGTGTGCAAAGACTCTTGCTTTTTATTACGACCAGTGTACCAATAGAGTGAATGGGGGTGGGGGGGGGGAGGGGGGTGCTTAGCTGTTGTCACTGCTGTTCACGCGGAGCTCGCGTCAAATTTCTACATTAATCACGCGAGTTCACGGCAGGAAAAAAAAAAAGAAGAAGAGCAGGAGAGAAGAAGAGAGGCGAGCTGGACTTTGGACTCGGGCCCAGGCCGCATGCGCTCTCGTTAAATCCCTGTTAGAGGAAGTGCAAAACACTACACAGCCTCATACCTCTAATGTGACACTGTGGGGCCTGTACTAAACTCTAAACCCGTTTACAGTCTCTATTTAAAATTAATTAAGACTCGATTCCACCCCCCCCCCTCAAAAAAAAAATGCATTCCCCCTCTTTAAAAACAAAACTGCTTTTCACATCCGCCGCCTAAAATTAAACGTTATTTCCCGCCTTTATTTAATTGTACCCACAGTGAACAGGACCGAATTGATTCTGGTTATTTTCCTCGTAATTAATCTTTTTATTACACCTATAATGTGCTTTAATCGCGAGCGCGCATGAATGCCGCTTTAATCATCGTTTCTCATCAGCGCGCTCATTTATCGCATCCGCATATTAACTTCATCTTTACATTGAAATCAAATAATTCCCCTGATCAAAAATAAAATAGAACATAATTTAAAAAACACTTTATTTACCTCAAAAGCAGATTAATAAATCATTACAATTTGACGCTGTCGTTATTCTGTAATTCTATTTAGACACTGGGTGGGATTCCATAAATGAAAAGCTCGGCTCGTCCCTGTGTGGAAGAAGGCTGCTGAATAATTCATTGATTTAAAAAAAAAAGACGCATTTGGCTGTAGTCGCGTTCGTAAGTTTATACAACGAGGTTTGCGCCAATTATCTTTAATTTATTACCTTAATTGAATTTCTCCCCCAAAGATAGATTTGGGTGTGATCAGTTTACATTCTCCTTCAAAGAGTCAATGCGCATCATGAGAGATACCAAGCCTCCAGCATCCTCTCCTCTCCTCTCCTCTCCTCGCCTCGCCTCTCCTCTCCTCTCCTCTCCTCTCCTCTCCTCTCTTTTTCCTCGGTGCATTTCACAGAGAGAAGGATCGGATTTGCTTGGTGCTCCTTTCAATCAACCATGGTGTCAATAAGCAGGCTGGCCGGCCTCTATATGCTCAGTGTGTGTCTCTGTGTATGTATTGGTGTGAAGCTTTTGCTGTTCGTAGCCTCGATCACATTTTCAGATTTATTGCCTACATATGTATATTTTTCTCTCCTCCTTCTGAAATGTTTTTCTGTAATTGCTGAGTAGTTTGTGAATCTTTTTTTGGGGGTGTTGATTAGACACCGAGCAGCTATGGCTTCATCTGTCCTTTGTGGCAGGGGAGAGAAAGGGGCTCCTCTCCTAACACAAAGGGACGTGCAACGTGTTTCTGCCACTGTGAGGGCTTGTGTTCAGCGGTGAAATATCTGCAGAGCACAAGCCCTCACAGTGACAGAAACTGTACAGGCACCACATAAAAGCCTATATAGATAATAGCCAGTTACAGTTACACAATATACAGTTGTGCATTGCTCAATCAGAAAAAAATCACGTGCAAATGCCCACAATCGCCTTTTTCTTACATATAATATAATATAATCTTACTTTCGTTCGGCTTGTGTGCCAATATTGGGCGTCTCCTGAATTAACATGATCACCTGGATACAACAAAATGGGGTTAAACACAAAAATAGCATTTTTTAAAAATAAGAAATCTCATTTTAAATCGCATCAAAATCATAATAAATGACTGTCTATTATAGATCACTTCTATTTTAACCCTACAATAGATTCCCATTGGTTTCTACTGCCGTTCTATTCCCATAACTTGCTGTGCTTTCAGACCCGGAAGAGCTGGCGTGTTCTGTACAGTAAGTACGGTAAAGAGGCCGCCTTTGGTTGGCCCGTGTGCTCGTGCAGCCTGCCCGGTACAGCCTATGTGCGCGCGTGTTTCCTCCTCGCGCTGAGTTGTGACGCTGTGACTCCGGGACCGAGGGCGCGCGCGCACCATCACCGCCGCCGCCACCACTACTCCTAGCGCTGTGCTGAGAGTGTGTGTGTGAGTGTTTGTGTGTGTGTGTCTGCGTGTGTGTTTTTCCCCTCCCCGTCCACAGCTCCTCGCCCTCTCGTTCTTTTTTCCTCTGCCTCTCTCTAAATGCCATCGGCGCCTCCATCTCTATGTCACTCTTCCTTCACGTCTGCGGAAAAAAAAGCCTCCACCCGTCCAGCGTCCACTGCAGGTCAGTAAATATTTAGATTTGCTCTGAAGCCGCCGCATCCTAAATGCCCCATCCAATGAGCTGCCGCTTCCCTCGGTGGCTTTGTAGCCTGTCTGTGAGCTCACTGACGGTCTGAGAATGATGGGAAACTTTTGTGAATGTGCTTTTTTTGGGTGCTAGATTAAATGACTATAAACGAAAATTATGAGTAAAGCGGTAACATTCTTTTAATCTTTTTTTTTGACTGGACTTCAGTGAAGCCGGAGATGAAGCTACCCGTTACACCTTCATCTCTCCCCCTCAACATCGCTCTGTGTGCACTTGGTGGAATTAAAAAAAAAAAAAAAGGGGGGGGGGGGGGTATTGTTGACAATACTGGCTACAACATCCATAACGAGCGCCATTGTTGCGTTTAATGCTAACTGCTTTCTCTATCCTTTTATTTATTAGCAGCGCAAGCGAAATTTGCTTTGGTTGGCCGGGCTGATAATTAAGCTAGCATTTCTTTTTCTTTGGCTCGCCTGAGTCAACGGATTGATATGTAAAAAGGCTAAACGACAGCCGGTTTCACTTCTTAGATTATTTAACCTACACCTAAAATAGCACAGATGAGTGTTTTTAGCGACCCATTACCTCTCGCATTACCTGGTGGTGCAGGCGAGAATCCCATACAAGCCGTGAAATTGATCTGATTACCTTTGCCGGCGGGTCATAAGAAGGAGCTGGGCTTGCTGAGGCTGCTTTGCACCCCCACACGCACACACACACCCAGCCCGTTATTAGTTTCCTCCATCTCGTCTTTGGTCCTTGTGTCTCGAGATGGCGGTGTGTTTGTGTGAGTGCGAGAGAGGGAGAGAGCCGCTGTTTAGAATGAATAGGAAGCTAAATCAGGGGCATCACACGCGCACAGTCACGGGCCAAAAAGCTCCAACGGTTATTTGCACGCGGGGAGCAGAACACGAGAGAAACCCTCGGACACCTTGATGTTTTTTTTCTTCCCTTCATTTATTCGCTTCTTAGAAAAGAGGATAGGATTCGATACGATAAAAAAAGGAGAAAAGGATAAAAAATACGGTGTTATTATTAAAATAATATAAACTCGGATTAAAAACGTAGAAGAAGAAGCAGCGGACCGCTCGAGCGGATAGCACTTTCACTCCAATTTCCCGTCACAATCGAAATTTCGTTATTGCATGAGGTGTCAGAGAGGCTGCTAGCACTCCGAGCTCCACTTTAAACGCATTTAAATCACAAAGATTAATAACATAAATAAATTTTAAAAAAAAAATCAGCCAAACAATTTAGTGCCTGAATGATGAATGACTTCTGTTTGGAGATGCACAAGACAAGAGGTGAAAAGGCCCTGCACCTCAAATGAAAGATTACATCAGTGTGTCTGGCGAGACGTGATATAAAGATAAGAATCACAACTCAGTCAATTGGCAGCCCCCTTTTTTTCTTTGCTCTTTTTTTTCTTCTTCGTTGGGAAGAATGACACAAAATCTGATGTGCTAGTTTTCTTTTCTTTTTCTTTTTAAACACACTCGAAGAAAATGTGATCAATCCTTCAGCTCTTGCTCATTTAAATCGTTCTAGGAAAGCCAGTTCTGTTTTTAAGTTTCACGCGCCCAACAAGCAGAATTTTACGCCCTAGTTTTGTTCTAAGAACCAGACTTGGTTCCCATGCTGACAGAAAAGCAGCCCCACTTTTTTCTTGAAAAGACTAGAAAGGTGACAAATGACTCACTGAGTAAGAAACAAATAGGTTACCTGCGGTAATATACGGGTTTCAAAATGTATAAATGAGCGCTTAACCAGTAAAAAATATCACAATTTACAGCATGACTATAGCCCGTAGCATTTTTAATCACTGGCTGGGCATCTCTTTTTTTTCCACAGAAGCTCTTTGGATTATGTTCTTATGTCGTGTGTTTTCTTGCGCCAAAGTGCTTTTTGATTTTAAAAAAAATATTTAAAAAATTTATATTTCACAAAAATTAAGTCTAATTCTGGCTGGGTATCTTAGATCTGTGCGTGCCAGAATAAATAAAGATACGTGACACATTACGACCCAAGATAACAGGCCGTAAATGCGCACACACGCATGCGCACAGGCGATTTCTTTTCAATATTATTTTACAATAGAGCTTCTTGCTTCTTCGTGGCTCTAAATGTACCTCACACGAGCTGCTACTCATATCATTTGAATTTCTTTTCCTTTTCAAAAAAGTATTGATATTACTGTAGTGGTAGCAGTGGGCGAACACTCACTGGTGGTGGCATAACTGTTACACCATCTAATGTATTAATATAGTATGATTTTTATCTCGCTGACCTTTGATTAATCAGCTGGCGGAAGGAAACTTTTATTTATGAGGGAAAACAATGATTGTAATTTTGTGAACACGGGACGCTGAGGAACAAAGTAAACACACACACGCACAGACACACACACGCACGCACATGCACGCAAGCATTAGACGTTATCTAAAACATTTGATCCCCCTAAACACACACACAAACACACACACACAGGCAATGGAATAATCCGTTCTTGTGTTAACTGCAGTGAAGAGAACAAAAAAAAAAGAAAGTGGCTCGATTTTAATCAAAGCTGGCTAACATAATCTCGCAGAAATTATCTAAGCCATCAAGAAAAGGACTGGACCCTCGCCCGCGTTTATGAATAAACCTTTAACAAATCTTTGCGCACAGCATCGGTGCTAGTTGTAGGCCATTAAGTACAAAAATAGACTAATGTGGGCTCGTTTTAGCCCCTCTCGCTTTTTCGTCCTCACACACACACAGAGAGAAAAAAGAGCCAAAGCCACCATTTCTCCCTTCGTGACGACAGTTTAGGATTAAAAATGACTTTTTTTTCCCTTTTTTTTTTTTTAAGAAAGGGAGAGGCAGTCTTATATCCCGCGCTGAATAAGCCCCGGCGTTATTGACACCGAGGCTTGGGGACTCAAGTGATGGGATGGCTTCCATGTCCCATTCTCTAAGCTTCGATGCATCCAGTCAAGAAACAAAAACACATAATCGGGATTTTAGGCCACATTTTACCGTCGTGTGTTGCCTTCGAGCACCTATAACGGCTACTTTGTGGATAACGCTCCGCGATACTTTTTTCAAGAGGATAATTACACGAGTCGGCTGACAGCCTGACAATGGCAGCTACAGCAGTTTGCGTCCAAGTTCAGTTTCGGGCTTTGCCTGTGTGAGAAACGCTCGCTCTCCCTCTCCCTCTCCCCAGGTAGGGCTATCCTGGAGAGAGGGAAAAATAGCACGCTTTGCCAAGTTCTCCTCTGCCCGTGCTCCCAAGCGCTCGGTTAAGAGCAAGCTTAATAATTTCAGACGGGATTGAATGAATGAGCCATCACCTGTGCGCATGCAACTGAGGACTCACCTGCTAAATAATCTGTCTGATGGCGTCTTCATTGATCACCTTAATGCTTTTATTTATTTATTTATTTGGTACCAACCCCCCACTCTAAGGAAGTGACCCCCACCTATTATTACACCCACAGCAAATTCATGCCAATACCTACGTGGTGCGAGGGCGTGCGCGCTCCCGCAGCCGCCGAGAGAGGATTCATTTCCTGACTGTTTACACCGCGGTGACGTCACTTCCAGTGGCTGCCCCCAACACACACACACTGCTACTATTACACACCGCCAGTCTGACAGTATACGCAGATCAAACCGGGATTTAGACATAAAAAACCTCCCACACACACACCTGCCCACGGGGAGGGATACAGGGGGACTGTTTCTCAGGTGGAAGACGTAGGGCATCATGGCCGTGTCACGGCGCACACATCCTTTTAAATTCCAGTTTGTTTATTTAAAAAGAAAAACTGGTCAAAGGGAGGCGGGCTACGGTCACTCGCAGTGCGAGTTATCAATGCGCGTTATTCACTGTTGTGAATAAATCTTGACATCGCTCGTTGTTGCTCGTCTGTCTGAACTGCAGTGAACAGGTTGCAGCTACCGCACAGATACCGACTGAGTTAAGTAACAGCCAGTAATAGCTTACATTATAACCTATTTTTTTTTAACTTTTCATTTTTTTTAAACTGGAGGCTTAGTCACCCAGGCGTCCCTTCGCAGTGAGGAAATCGGCTCAGTTTGGATCTGCCATTAGAATAATGTGGCTGTCACCGCGAGAGGACGCACTGTCACAATTTTAAGAGCATAAATGTCCCGCAACATGCCGTTGGCCCAGAGCAACAGGCTCTGCAGCAGCTTCTGCTCTTCTCTTCTTGCAAACTGTAGCAGGAAAAAGCGCAGACTTTAGTGGCTGTTGTAATAAAAGTTTTTTTTCTTAGAAAAGGAGTTTAAAACTTTTATTTTTGGTTATCATTTTTATACTTGTCAACTTTAATGACGCTGAAGGTGAATTTATAAGTTTTCCCTTTTAAGTTTATAAACGTAGGTATCATATTTTATAGATTAATTCAAAATAAAATAACTTTCTACAACACGAGTTTTGCACACCTAGCACGCTTGCATGCATAAGACAGCTGTTAAGTGTATAAGGCCTTACTACAGTACAATTTTCATATTTAAAACAAATATACCTCTTTTGATGAGTTCAGAGAAAAAAACAAACAAACATTAAAAAGGTAGTAAATTCTTGCAGCTCTTCTATATCTTCCTTGGCCAAATGTTGTATTCAATTAGAGCAGGCCCCTCCCCTTAACTGATGACACTGACAGACCCTCCTTAAGTTGCGTCGCGCCACAGCTGTCTGCAAGCATTGAGCTGCCTGGCGCCATCCTGAAAGAATGCCTTCACTGTAAAAAAAAAAAAAAAAAAAAAGAGAGAGAGAGAGAGAAAAGGAAAAAAAGAAGGGGGACTGGAAGGAGCAAGAGAGAAAGAGAGAGAGCGAGAGAGGTAGGGCAAGGGTGAGTAAGCAAGAGACTCACAGACCTAGAGGGAAAGAGAGAGAGAGGAGCGGAGTTAATGGAGAGGGCTTCAACTGCGCACAAACAGAGATTTGATCAGTGAGTTTAACTTGCTGGTGCTGGTCAGTGCGCAGTGAGGCCATCCACTGCAAACAAGCCCTGCCTGCGCCCCGTGCGAGCCTCCGCTACTTGTTGAGCTGAAACACTGACTTTTTTTTTTCTCGCTGTTTGTTTGCTAAGAGGAAGAAGTTCAGGAGCTCTGCGTGGGACCGGATTCCATTTTGGACGTATTTCTGTGACAGCACCTCAGTTGCATTTGTAATGTTGGGTATGTTCCCTGTTTAATTTCTGTTTCTTTGTTAAAAAATTTTTTTAAAAAAACATCGCGTGTGAATTTGCTTAAGCGTGAGCGTCCTGCCAAGTTTTAGAAGCGTTGCATGTAAACAAATGTTAGAACGTAAGACAATAAATTCTCCCCTCTGTCTCCAGGTGATCGGAAGCAAGCGCGGAACCTGTGGATTTAACAAACACGCGGATTTGGGACAGTTTATTTCTTATCTTTTGACTTGTACCAGTTTGCTTCAGCGTGCATGAACATTTGCTAAAGCAACGAAAAAATATATCTAAAGAAATCAAGCGATGGAAGTAAGTGCGGACCAGCCACGATGGATAAGCCATCATCCCGCGGTGATGAACGAACAGCATCCTGGCTCACATCACCCGGGCCTCGGCCACTCATACATGGACCCTTCGCAGTATCCCCTCGCTGAAGATGTGGATGTACTCTTTAATATCGATGGACAGGGGAACCACGTCTCTCCATACTATGGAAACTCTGTCCGAGCCGTCCAGAGGTACCCTCCTCCTCCACACAGTAAGTAAACGGCCTGTTAAGGCCTTTTATTTAATCATTTGCTCCCTTTATTTGTTTGGATGCCCGTGCGTAATTGCAGGCAGGCTCCATTACAGCTCGGAATTATTTTCTCACTGTGACCCAGACAAAAGAAAAAAGGAAAAAAAGAAAAAAAAGAAACGAGTTTCGATTTTAGCCCGGGTTGATTCGACTTATAAAACTCAAGTGTTGTGAAACCACGGCGTGAATATGTGTAGTTTACGCGTATGGTTTCTGAGTATGGCTCGTACTGAAGTCAATTCCCGTTTAAAGTTCACAAACATGAGCTGACTCATATGCTGGTGAAGTTTTTTTTTCCTTTTTTAAAAGCTCGTGCCCAATTTGTTTTCTGGATCGATCGAGTGTTTAGTTACGGATTTAAACAAATAGACGTGTTGGCACAGAAACCAGAGATACACCTGGAACACTTTGGTATTAATGTTTTTTTTGTTTTGTTTTTTGGCTTCTGCTCTCACACTCCAACTGTCTATTTTCTAATGTGCCAGTCACTGACGCGTAGTCATTTATGAAGTTTCCTATGATGTAGGCTTTAACTTCCTCAACAGTCGAGTTACTTTTGAATTACATGCATTCATATGTTGCATTTAGGCCCGCTCAATAGGAAGGTTAAAGGGTAAATTTACGCACGTGCGTGGCCACATGAAACTCTCAGATTTCTACACACTAGAGGGGTTCAAATAATTTCTACGTGTAAACAAACTGTCAGGATTTTTTAAATGTAGAACTGGATGTTGGTCACAGTGAATGATTGCTTCTGTGTGTGGAATAATTAAAAATAATAATAATAAAAAAGAAATAAAGAAATGTCACCTGATTTGTTTGCTTAATTTGTGTGTAAAGCTTAAATCCTGCTTTTTCAGGCCTGAAGCCCGACAACTCTAAATGGCAATGTGTATTTGTTTTTGCTGCAGAGTGAAGTCAGGTTGTGATCTTTTCTGTTGTTTTTCTGTGCTGCCTCAGGTAGCCAGGTGTGCCGTCCCTCATTACTGCACGGCTCTCTGCCCTGGCTGGAGGGGAGCAAAGGAATCCCCCCGCACCACAGCACTTCTCCCTGGAACCTGAGCCCCTTTCCCAAGAACCTGCACCATGGCTCCCCGGCCAGCCTGTCCGTCTACCCCCCAGCCTCATCCTCCTCCTCCCTGTCTACCGGTCACTCCAGTCCACACCTCTTCACGTTTCCCCCGACCCCTCCCAAAGACGTATCCCCGGATCCGGGCATATCTACCCCCGGCTCCAGCAGCTCCGGGCGGCAGGAGGATAAAGAGTGCATAAAGTACCAAGTGACCCTGGCCGAGAGTATGAAACTGGAGTCAGCTCACAGCCGGAGCGTGGCATCAATCGGAGCAGGGTCATCCTCTGCCCACCACCCCATCGCCACATACCCACCCTATGTCCCTGAATACGGCCCAGGCCTCTTCCCACCAAGTAGCCTGATAGGTGGGTCATCTTCTAGTTATGGTTCCAAAACAAGACCAAAAACAAGGTCCACTTCAGGTAGGCGTGCGCTTTATTACATTCCCTTTTGATCTAACAGCATTCCCCAGAATTGCAGCCTTTAATGATCAGCCGTGTTTAATATCACATAGATTTCTAAAATAAATGCCCATAATCAGCACGTTCATCCCTCACATGGAGGTTTAAGGCCGCAGGAGTCAGTTTAACCCAAACAGCCGCAAAAATACCTCACAGATTTCCCTTAATGGTCTGATTTAAAAAAAAAAATAATAATATGAAATATAATATAACACCAATAAAACAAATAAAAAGACGTTATATTTATTTTTAAAAATAAATTAAAAATAAAAAATGGGGGGAAAAGATTAACACCATTGACAACTGAAATTAAAAAAAAGAATTTAACTTTTTTTATATTGAGGTAAAAAGGAAAAAATCATGACGCAAATGATTTCCGAGTTGAACCATAAATAAGGTCATTTTTTCATCTTCCTCTGCACTAACAGAGAGTGGGAGAGAGACAGAGGGGAAGCCAACTCTCTGGGCTGTGTCGCCCCGTTTATATGTTTAAGATAATCCCATTATTGTCGGACCAGTGCACGCCACAGTTGCATTGTTTACCCAGCGGTAGAGCACCGGATACTGCTCGTTCATTCACAGGGAAAAAGCGGCTGAACCGTCGCCGTGGCAGAGTGCACGAACCACCGAGGGGAGGGAAAAAAGAAGACAGACAGACAGAGAGGAGGGAGATATTTACAAATTGTGAAGAGGGTGGGTAATTATTTTAAAGGTTATTTCAGCGCCGCTGAAAACCAGTTTTCCGTAATGAGATTAATATCAGCGTCTTTGATGGGGTGTATAGAAAACAGAGGATTAGTTGATGCATATCATCGGGATTATTCAGCAGTATACACTGGGCCATTAATGCAAATAAAGATGTGAATTCCGGGATCATGTGAGATAATGTGCAGTTAAAGATATTTGGCGATCTGAAGAGTTTCATTTGGATGTTTTAATCGGGTCTTCAGTGCGGCAGTGTAAACTCAGCGCAGCGCTGAAAGCTTTTCTCCCGGAGCACCAAGCACACTGTGCAAAACGCTGCATTGCAGAGGCCTGCTTTTCTTAAGTCACATGCATTGGATCAGTTCCTGTTTGATTTCTGCAACATATTATCAAGCCAAAAAAAAAAAAAAAACAGAGAGAGAAATAGCAACACACACTTTCCCAGGTGCTTGCATGTCTGTCACATCTAAACGACGCGGCACGACCCGGACCGACGCATCTCTTTTAGTCTTTGTGAAGAAGTCGAGCTGTGTGTGTGTGTGCGTGTGTGTTTGCAGCTCGAAAAAAAGGGGAAGTGTGGCTGCATGCCTGAGAATGCAAAAGGCTCTCGGCGTTGCACAAAAGCCCTGTGTGAGTGAGTCTCTGCTTTCAAATAATCTGACTATGTGTGCAGCGAGCTCCCTTGTTTCAGTTTCAGGCCCCCCGTATACCATAATCCAACTGTTAGTGCGCGTCTCACCTGTCGGTGTCACTAGAGAAGTGCCAGTCAAACCTGCCCCCCCCCCTTTATTATTATTATTATTATTATTATGATTATTATTATTATTATTATTATTATTATTATTATTATTATTATTATTATTATTATTATATAAATTTTCAATAAAGGGAAATTTAATGGCTCGGACGAAGGCGGATTTGATTAGATTTATTTAAAAAAAAATTGTCACGCTCCAAAGTGGATTTTGCTCAGTCTGAAAATCCTGCTCAGAGACTCGCAGTGTGAAAAGTTTTGTGGTTTACTGAAATAATTTATGCTTTATGGACCTTAACACAACTGCTGTATTCGACACCAACACTAACCACATGTGTTTAATGTGTGCGTGCGTGGTGTATGTGTGTGACAAATAAATCTACTACAAGCCTTTCTACTTTCTAGTTATTGTTAATTACTGGTACTAGTTTGTCTAGTTATTATTATTAGTCGATGTCACTATTAATCGTTCTGTGCTTTACAGAATACTTGATTGATATATATATATATATATATAATAATATATATATATATATATATATATATATATATGTATGTATGTATGTATGTATGTATGTATGTATGTATGTATATATATACTTTTCTCTAACCTCTTTTTATTCTCAGCATTGATTGCATGAACCAGTTATTGCTGGTTATTTTAAGGACCAACTGACCTGGACACTCTCTCCATCTTCTGTTTGTGTGTGTGTGTGTGTGTGTGTCCGTGTCCGTGTGCGCGTTGGCTCTTGCAGAAGGTAGAGAGTGTGTGAACTGCGGGGCCACGTCGACTCCGCTGTGGAGGCGGGACGGTACGGGTCACTATCTGTGTAACGCCTGCGGACTCTATCACAAGATGAACGGGCAGAATCGCCCTCTCATCAAACCCAAGCGACGGCTGGTACGTCTCCACCATGTTTCTCTGTTGATGACATTTCCGTCTCTCTCTCTGTTTTTCCCCTATCCAGGAAGAAGTAGGCCTATTAGCTGCAGGAAATTGACTCGACAAGTGCAGGTCTCTGCTTTAAGATATTACCACAGAAAAAAAGTGCAGTTTTTTTTAATGCAATGACAGTGCTACTTTTTATTTGCTAAAATTGTCATTGATTCACACAGTAGGCCCCATGTATATCATAGAACGCTACCTGTGGCCATCAAAGCTTTACAGCTATTGTACGACATCTGGACTATTTCCACTTGTAGTACCTTATTTACGTCCTGCACAGTGTTATTTAACTTTTAAATATTTAATTTAAAATTGCACTGCGAGCGCCTTAGTTTTACTTTTTTTAAAAGAGAGATTACATTTTCTATCTTTCATATTTAATTGAGCAAATAAAACAACCCCCCGGGATAAAACAAACAAAAAAAACAAAACAAAAGACCCCCCACTCTGATTCTAATTTAAGGAACTGAGCATGGCTGCAGTTCTGCACTCTTTACAGCATCCTTTTTTTTTATTTCATCTTGTAGGTGAGCCTATATTGTAGCTATAAGCAGACCTTTTTGCTTTCCAAGTGCAGCTATTTTTACAGTTATTTTGGGGAAAGCCCCTCTCATCAGAGCTTACATCTCTTATGAGCTTCACAGGAGTTCCCCACTCTTTGAAAAAAAAAAAAATCTTTCGAGGCAAAAATGGCCGTCCAGACCTCTTCTGCTCTGGACTTCTTCTCTTTGCCTCTATAATGTGAAAACCCGACTACTCAGGAAAGAGCTGCCGGATATCTGAGCAGCGCAGATAAGTCGCTTTCAACAACACAAGCCCCGCTTCCCCAGTCAAAACATAAAGGCTGAGGCAGCCCGAGCCAGGCCAGACAGAGAGCCACGACGAGAAATTGTTTAGCGTTGTAATCACCGCTTAAATACACGAGGATGCTCAGGTATGGGTAACAACCAGGTCAGTTTGACCTTGAACCTCTTTCTCGCGGAGGTGAAAAGGGTCAGGAAAAAACTGTACAGGCCAGAAAGTGAAATTTAGCACGAAGATAAGATCTGCGAGCCGAATCATTTCTCTATGAAATCACCACAACGTGTAAATACCAATCCTGTTGACCTTTCATTGCTGATATTTAAAGTGTTGGCTGCGAAGAAAAAAACAAAATGTTGGAAAAATAAGAAAACCGGTTAAACTATGATGATAGGTTAAGTGAATAAAAATAGAGATTTCAAAAGGTGTGTTCCCTCACTGTGATTGGGTATTCACAGCGATCAGCAGCAGGGGTTATTGGGCCACCACGTGTGTATAATTGGAAATTCCTCCCTGAGATAATGTAGTCCTTTACGTTAGCGTGTCCTCTGCGGTCACCTGTCTATTGATTGTTTTTAGAGATTATAACATCAATGTCAAGCCACTGCAGCAAACTGGCCTGTGAGGCAGGCAGCTGAAATCCATCGGAAGACATGACTTTCACTGTGGCAGGATGGAGCGAGGGTTTTACTCTCCTCGTAGCCTGCAGCGAAGCCAAAAATACCCACTTCTTTCTTTCTTTCTTTCTTTCTTTCTTTCTTTCTTTCTTTCTTTCTTTCTTTCTTTCTTTCTTTCTTTCTTTCTTTCTTTCTTTTCTTT